AGAAACAGCAGCGCCTCCTAGAGTAAAGACATATCCACTTGTGGATTTTGAATCTTTAGTATCCGATATCCAATTTGCATCACAATAACCTTCAAGTACTGCTGAATATCGAGTAAAGTTCAAACCATGATCACGGTTGAATCTTAGATATCTAAGAACCCGAATGATCGCTTTTCAATGGTCTTCTCCGGGGTTACTAGTGTACCTACTCAATTTACTGATAGCATAAGCTATATTAGGACGAGTACAGTTCATTAGGTACATTAAGATTCCAATAATTTGGGAATATTTTAACTGAGACACCGCATCACCTTTATTTTTCGATAAATAAAGATTGACGTCTACAGGTGTTCTAGCTAAATTCATATCATCCTTGATAAATTTACCAAGAATTTTCACAATATAATGTGATTGAGATAATGCATATTCGTCAGATGTTTTAGTAATTTTTATTCCGAATATAACATCTGCGACCCCCATATCTTTCATATCAAATCTTTTGTTACGCATCTGCTTAGTTGATTTGATCACATTTTGACTGCTTCCAATGATAAGCATGTCATCCACATAAAGACAAACTATGATATATCCTTGGTTAGTGTTTTTAACATAGGCGCATTTGTCACATTCGTTTATCTTAAACCCATTAGTAAGCATTGCATGATCAAATTTTTCATGCCATTGCTGAGGTGCTTGTTTTAATCCATAAAGGGATTTTACAAGTCGACAAAATTTCTTTTCTTGCCCTGATACTACAAACCCTTCGGGTTATTCCATATAGATCTCTTCATTTAGATCACCATTTAAGAAAGCTGTCTTAACATCCATTTGATGTATTTCTAAATTAAACAACGCTGCTGTAAAAATAAGCATGCGAATGGATGTTATTCTTGTCACAGGGGAATATGTGTCAAAATAGTCCAGAACTTCCTTTTGTCTGTAACCTTTAACTACAAGTCTTGCTTTATACTTGTCAATTGAACCATTTGCTTTCATTTTTCTCTTGAATATCCATTTATATCCAAGATGTTTAGAACCTGGTGGAAGATCTACCAATTCCCAAGTATAATTTTGCATAATGGATTCAATTTCATTATTAACAGCCTCTTTCCACAAAGGTGCTTCAGGACCTGTCATTGCTGCCTTAAAGCTTTAAGGTTCATTTTCTAACGAGTATGTCAGAAAATCTGGACCAAAAGATTTTGATGTTTTCACTCTCTTACTTCGTCTTGGTTCATCATCAGTTAAATCCTATTGGTCGAGACTATTACTAGTCTCTTGTGTTTGATTGTCATTAGTCTCTTGACTTTGTGTACAATCATAAGTTCTTTTCTGTGAATTTAATTCATGTCCTTTCTTGTAAGGAAAGACATGCTCAAAAAACACAGCATTCCTGGAATCTATAATAGTGTTCACATTTATATCAGGTATTTCTGATTTATAAGTCATATGCACTACTATTTTTAGCATAACCAATAAACACACAATCTACTGTTTTTTTGGTCCAATCTTAGTCTTTTTAGGAACAGGAACTTCAACTTTTGCCAAACACCCCCACACTTTTAAGTATTGGTAGGAAGGCGGTCGACCTTTCCACAATTCATAAGGAGTGCTGTTTGTTTTCTTGTGAGGTATTCTGTTAAGAACATAATTAACAGACAATATTACTTCCCCCCACAAGTTCTGTGGTAAGCCTGAACTTAGTAATATGGTATTCATCATTTCTTTTAGGGTTCTGTTCTTCCTTTCAGCAATTCCATTTTGCTATGGAGAATAAAAGGCTATAGTTTGGTGAATAATGCCATGTTGTGCATAAAATTCATCTAATGGTGCATCATATTCACCACCCCTATTACTTCTGATATAAATCAATGAATTTCAAAACAAATTCAAGAAAAAACCAAAATAATTATGACTACTCAAGTCAGAATTAATATTTTGACAAAATTATATCCTCATAAAAATTTTTGCCTAAGAATCAAACAATTCAGAAACCCATTTGATTGTATACATTCTTGCAACTCAATAACAAATAAATGTCACTGTCATAAAAATATTTGTGACAGAAGAAAATTAAATTATCTCAACTAATGCAAGAGATACACCCCATATTAATAAAATGGTTCATGGTTTAATCTCTCAATTAGCATCTTTCGATAAGGACCACGTGTTTGAAATATTAAAATCTTATTTGAACGTTAAATTTACCTTCACTGAAATTTCTCTTGCGTTGTTATTTTTGTAGTTGGTTTTATTATTGCACAAGTTTTTTGTTGAAATTTTAAATATTCAATCCTATATTTTGACAGGATCTAAATCTAGCTTAATTTGTTTATTGGCATATCGGATTCACAATACCTTTATGCCTCCAAAAATGGTCGAGAATTTTACTATTGCCATTTTAAAATTCCAATGACGAAACGTCGAATTGACCAAATTATCCTTTCAAATTGGGTTGAATTACTAAATAAATAATGTGGTTAAATTTGAGATGTGTGAAAAAGTTTGAAAATTTGAATTGAGTTGGATTGAGATTCTCGATGAAAATCCGGAAGCTCATGTAGAGTCTGTTATCCAATTGTCCTTAAGGTTAATAACCAAAGATAGATTTTTGACAATAATTATTGTCTAGGGATTTCTCGTAAATTATTTAGCATATCATTATTTTTAACAATTGGTTTTCTTGAATATCTCAATCAATCATTTATTTACCATTATTTTCATAGTTCAAATAATAATCTTAGCAAAAATTATAGTTTTCACCAAAACGATGAGAATACATAGCCTCCGTTTGGGAAGTGGGTTGACTTTTTGGCTTTTTTGACTATTTTAGCCTAGGCTAAAAAGTTTGGTTTGGGAAGAACTTTTTGGCTTTTTTGACTTTTTTTGTGAGAGAAAAATGTAATGATTATGGGTTGGATGTGATATTTTGTTTTTTGTGGCTAAAATAGCCTATTTTATCTTTTGTGACTAAAATAGTCAAAAAAGTCCCGTTTAGCTCTTGTCAAACGGAGCCATAGCCTAGGCATATAAAAGAAATGATATTCAAGTTGTTGGGCATGCATTTGAAGTGTTAATATTGAGCATCTAAACCTTGTGATCTTATGAGTGTTTGTGTGATCTTCCATACTGCCACCAAGCAAAATGCTCAAATTAAAAACAAAAAAAATAAAAACAAATAATGAGTCGGAGGCTTTGGTTTTTGTTTTGTTTTTTTTTTTTTTTTTTTGTGTATTTATTTTTAAAACTCAGAAATGCCCTAAGACTACAAAGAAGAATCCAAAAATAATTGTAAGTTAGCCTAGCCAAAACAACATATAATATCAATTTGGGTTAAGATATACCTAAATACAACTACTGAATCGGATAAAAATATACCCAAATACAAATACTAAACCGGATCTAACAGGTAACTACCGAATAATATGCGTATTCAAATTAAATTTGAGACACTCACAAATAATAATAAGAAACTTTGATAGTTGTGGTTTTTTTTTTTTTTTTTTGGTCCTTGTGTCCACGGTTAGATTTGATTGATGGATAAGAACAAATATATCAAGAGTGATTATCTCAACTCTAAAAGGAATTATATTCAAAATTCAGTGTTTCAAAGCGAACATTTGAACACCCAACAGCCATTACCCACAACATACTCCGGTCCCCAACAACATAAACAAACCCAAACCTCCATGGAAGAGGAAGAAAAGCCTTCACAAAAAAAGAAAAAAATAATAAAACAAAATATCAAAAAAAACTAACAAAATCATTAAAAAACCCAATTAGCACAACCTGTAGCATAGGACAGGCAAGCAACTCTAACATCACATTAGATTGGAGGGCAAAAGACCCTATCTTAGAAAAGAAAAAAACAAATCACCCATATAGACCGACAGGAAAGCAAAGGGAGAAAGGGATCGGATGTCACCACCCCTACTCTCCTGCCATGGCAACAAGAGAAAACTCTAGAGTTTAGAAAGAAAAGCTTTGATTGTTAGAGAGAAAAAGGGAGCAGTTTCTATTGGTTAGCATCTTCCGATAAACATCTCTATCTGAAATATTAAAATCTTGTTTGAATGTTCTTAAATTTATCTCTACTGATCTCGTATTTGAAATATTAAAATCTTGTTTGAATGTTCTTAAATTTGCCTCTACTGAAATTTCTCTTGCATAGTCCGTTGTTTTTTTTGCCATTGTGTAGCTAGTTTTATTATAGCACAAGTTTGTCGTTGAAATTTTAAATATTTAATCCTATATCTTGATAGAATTTGAATCCAGCTTGGGTCCGTTTGGGAAGAAAATTTGTGGCTAAAATAGTCACAAAAGACAAAATAGGCTATTTTAGCCATAAAAGATAAAATAGGCTATTTTAGCCACAACAAATAAAACATCACATCCAACCCATAATCATTACACTCTTCTCTTACAAAAAAAAAGTCAAAAATCCTTCCCAAACCAAGCTTTTTAGCTTAGGCTAAAATAGCCAAAAAAACCAACTGACTTCCCAAACCAACCCTTAATGTGATTATTGGCATATGACAACTCCATCCTGATCCAATAAATCTTATATTTCTAAATCTTTCCACGTTAATTCTTACATTTGTGTTAAACGCCCCAGAAACAAAAAAAAAAAAAAACCTTAATTATAGTAAAAGTATAAATAAGACTGTGTTGTGTCAAATTTTCTGATCGAATATTCAATTACTGTATATGTTGAATTTGGATTAAGATCCGATTCAGATTGCAACAGATCTAACTCAGATCCAATCCATTGGCCAACCCAATGAAATATTAATTGTTAATGTAAAGTTACTAGAATTTTTATATAAAATTTATTTTCAGATTAGTGCGACAGTAACATATTTATAAATTATATTCACAACGAGGAGTCCCGTATTTTAACATGAACCACAATGAATCACAATATTTTGTATAGCATGATATAGCCTTATCCGTTGTAAAAAATTAAAAAAAAAAAAAAAAAACTCAAAGAATAATGGCAGGAAGTTATTAAATTAAATCCATTGAATTCCCTTAATACATCTGAAAACTTGGAACATGAAGAACTTAGCTAGCTAGGCTGAGAAATCCATGAAGAAGCTCTCTTTGTTCAAATGGAAACTAAAAAATAAATAAATAAATAAATAAAAATAAAATTCAAAGACTAGAAGGGTCCAAAATGGAATTGGAGAGAGAGAGAGAGTTGTGGATCCATTGATCACTTCATTCCAGTGGAATCCTTGGCAGCATCACAAACCCCTTGAGCCTTGGCCTTCATTTGCTGCCCTGCCTGTAGTACACATTCCCATATACGTTTGGGGTGGCTTAAAAACAATTATAAATAAATAAACCGATGTAAATTAATTGCAATTTGAGTTGAGGCTCATCCAAGAAAATGTTGATTTAGTTAAGGCTTGAATAGTGATCTTATCATTCACATGCATGCCCATCATTTATCTTTTTCTATGTGCGATGAAATGAGTCTATAATGTCTCACGAAATGCTATTTCAGTATACGGAGTTTGGTAATACTATCTGCATATAAAAAATTAAAAATAAAATTATTTGATGGATCTCTGAATTTATTTTATTTTTTTTGTGGTTTCTTTGCTTGATTTGTTTGAGAGACATTTCAAATGTTTTTATACATTCCTTTGAGAGTTAAATAAAAAAAAAAAAAGTAGTTTATTGACTAAAAATAAACTTGCAAAAAATTAATTTAAAAAAACTAATTTGTTTGGCACAATCTTACATTTTTTTTTTTTGAATTTTTTAATGACTTTTTTAAAATAACTAAAGTGAATTTTTTTTTGACAAAAAATGAGTTTGTCAAATTAGTTAAAGCTCTTTTAACGAAATTACCATTCAAGCCTCTGCCAATTGTTTTTTTTTTTTAAATAAATATTTTTATTTAAGTACCTCTTGCATTGAATCTTTGCAAGATTCAACAGCATTGCCAGCCTTGTCCATCATTTGGCTAGCCTTCTCCTGAAATATTGAACATAAATCACACATCACTCCCAAATCATTCCAAGATATTATACTTAAATGTAATTCACATCACATTCAATATAAATGTAAACCACACAAACACTTTCTTTTTTATACTTTTTTTATGTTTTAATTATGTGTACTTAACAATACCCTCTGAGAGAGAGAGAGAGAGAGAGAGAGAAGTTGACCTGAGCTTGGCCCTTGGCCTGGCCAGCTTGGTAGCTCTGTTTCATGCCCGAGCCTTGGTTTTGGTTCATCTTTGGTTTCTAGTTTTGGAAAAATGAAGATAACAGAGGCTCTGTTTGGGAATTGTTAAAGCTCAAAATTTTCAAAAACTTCTTGGTGATGATGGTGCAGATGTGATCATTGCACATAGTATTTATTTATAGTATTTGAAGTTGACCCGTTGCTTGACACGTGTAATGCAACGTGTAATGTGTTCTTGACAAATGTCACGCTGTGGTTGAAAATAGGAGCATTTTAGGCTTTAGACTAGGGTATTGAGCAATTACCTAAGATTAGGCGTTACTACTTTTCCTTGGCTAATTTGACAGAAATTATCAATTGAGTCGGGACTAATTGTATCTTCTATCTTCTTCTAATTCATGTGTTCATATATTTAGCCTCCGTTTGGAAAGTGAGTTAGTTTTTTAACTTTTTAAGTGTTGAGATCCACTTTCATTTCCCACACACATGTTTATATTAAAAATAAACATAAATATTTTTTTATGTAAATAAAAATAATAAGTTGTAATGTTACCAAACACACCGTAGTGATTAGTTTGTAGAGTAATTAATTGTGTTGTTGCACTGGGTCCAAACTAATGACTTCTATTAAATGAAATTATCCTTTAAGAATGGATCAATGGTTAAATATTTCATTCCACACTCTCTTATGAGGTTATTGTTAGCGATTTCACCCAATGATTACTTGGTATATTTGTGATAGGAGGCTAAATTAATCGAGATGAACCCTCGAAATACTAATGTGAAGATAAGTGCTATAAACATAGGCCTCTAACCAAGGCCTTTGTCTTAATAATTTTGTAGTATCATTTTGTAATGTGAGATTGTAGGTTCAATTCTTATAGAAAAGAGTTTTTAATGCTTGTGGTGTTTATTTCTCTCATATTATAAAACATTTTATCTAATAGTTTTTATTTCTTTCCAAATTTCAAAAATATATATATATATATATATATATACATATATATAACAGACCTCTCCATTTCATAAGGTTGTCATACATCATTAAAAATATAAAATCAATTGTATATAATTATTATATGGGATTTTTATTGATAAGTCTAATTTAGAAGTGTTTTAACCCAAGAAGTCCATGAAGGAATTTTTTAACCTATTTAGTCCCATATATGTATAGTTTTATTCCATAAAGGCCATTTTCTTGATTTACACTATTTTCTTGGACACTTATGCCTTTATATTCAATTTTGATACCCTTATAAATATTTTTTGAACGATTAGCAATTTAATGATGTGAACATTCATATTTTAAAATTCACATTGGTAGAAATGTAAAATTGGCCCGTGAGCGGCCCGAAACCCGCCCGGGGGCCGGGGTGGGCCCGGCCCGTTGACAATGTGAATATTCATATTGACATGTTAACATTCACATTAATAGGAGTGTAAAATTGGCCCGCGTCCTGTGGGCGGCCAAAAGCCCGCCCGCGACACGGGGAGGGCCCGGCCCGGTCCGTTGACAATGTGAATATTCACATTGACATGTTAACATTCACATTGATAGGAGTGTAAAATTAGTCCGCGCCTCGTGGCTGCCCGAAACCCGCCCACGGCCCGTGGGCGGACCGGAGCGGGCTCGGCCCGACCGATTGACAATGTGAATATTCACATTGATATGTTAACATTCACATTTATAAGAGTATAAAATTGGTCTGCAGCCCAGGGCGGGCCCGACCCGGCCCGACCCGGTCCGGTCCGTTGACAATGTGAATATTCACATTGACATGTTAACATTCACATTAATAGGAGTGTAAAATTGGCCACCGTCCCGTGGCGGCGCGAAACCCGCATGTACGGGGAGCAAATATTCCGGCAAGCCCGTACTCCTTTCTTCCAAGCTCCGTTTATGTCCGATCACCTGCGTGCAAAGAATGGTGAGCTACCCGGCGGTGTGTGGCCGGAAAAACCCTCCGATGATCAAGTTAGCACACACCTTAGGACAGAGAGAGAGAGAGGGGGAGGTGTTTTAGTGTAAGAAAGTCCTTACAAAGTTTTCATCTGTCGCGTATGGGGGGCGCAGACATGCTTATATACCCTCTGTGCCCCGTATCTACTCCCAGTCGTCTCCTTACACGTGGCTCCGCTATCCCATCTGTCAGCATAAACCTTGCTGAACATCACCTAATCTCAACTGCCTGACTTCACAGCTGGAGCTCGGCAGCCGAGCTGCTCTACCACGGCCATGCTATGCGTCATACCCAAGCACCTCACTGGATAAACACAAGGAGGACCGGGCTAGGCGGCATCTCGGCAGAGCCTAGCCCGGGCACCTCCTTTGGTCGGCCTTCCTGTCGATCAAACGGTCTCCTCGGTTGACCACGCCTTTCCGGGCGCCGGTCACTCAGCCTGTCTGGCTTCAGCCATCCCCTGATCAGGCAGCTCGGTCCAACCGAGCACTACCTTGCCGAGCTTCTTTTCGGTCCGGGATGGCTCACACTTGGCCCAAGTTCTGCCCGGCCCAAGTTCTGGCAGCCCATCTCTGGGCGGATAGTCGATCATCTCAACCCCATGCAACGTTGGGCTCTCAACCTGTTCGGCTGTTGCCTCGGCCCAACTCCAGGTCACAAATCACCCTCTCAATTGCCCCTTAATTTCGTCCGCGAAAGCGTGACTGGGATTACTCACTTCGACCGAGGTAGCATTTCTCCGGTCTTCAAGATACCAAACCTCGACCGGGCTAGTTAACATAACTGTCTGCAAACTTGCCCGGTTATACTCCTCGGCTGACATCCTTTTCTTCGAAAATAGCTCGGTTGGCTCTTCGACTCTTCAACCCGTCGCTTCAGTCTTGATGTCGCCATAAATGGGGACACGTGGCGGGCTCCCATTGGTCATCGAGAAGCCAACCCGCCGTTTTTGCCAGAATTTGAATTTGGGCGGCCTCTCGCTGGTCTATACATATAGGACCTCCAAACTTCATCTCCTCCTACTGCTATTCCGTCTCGCAACTCCAGAGCTCTAGCATCCTTGCCTTGGACTCGTCTGCCATTCTTCGTGTTCGAGGGACTCGACCCTGCCCTTCACTGGTGAGTCCTTCTACCTCTATTTTGTTGCTATTTTCTTTCATATTACACACGTAGCTCCTAGGGCATAGGCCATAGAAATCATCCCAAACCTCCCACTGTTCTTGGTGTTCTTCGTCTTCCTGAAGAACACTGAAGAACTGGGGCGAACCGGGCTATGGGCCTTCTTTTGATCCAAAAAAAACCAAACAAACCGGGCAAACAACATGTTTGTTTCAACCAAGGCGAAAACCGAGATAACAGAAGGACTCGGCCGTTCAACCGGGCCAACATCTGGTCCGCTTGGGCGACCGGGCTCCTTAGATAGAATAGACAACCGAGGTGGTTTGGCACACTAAATGACCGAGCTAAAGTCCAGCTCCTTTTGCGCGACCGCGATCACACTTACACTTGCCATCCTTTTCCTGCAGAGTCCAAGGGGACCACAGTCATTCCTGCGGCTCTCAGGACCGAGCAGCAACCAATTACATTAGTTTAACCCCTCAACCGGGCTATACCAAGCCGGCCATAAATGGGGAAATTCCGCTTCCTAGTGGATACTCCAGCCGCGCTGGCTGCGTTCAGGGAGGAGTACGGCGTCCCGGCCGATGTCCACCTGGAGCTCGCAGAAGAGGAGACCACACCTTGGGGTAGGGTGGAATGCCCCTTCACCGTGTTGTCCATCGTCGAAGGGGGCCTTCGTTTCCCACTCAATCCACTGATAACCGAGTTCTTGCGCCGAACCGGGCTAGCACCCACCCAAGTGTCTACCAACACTTACCGGATAATAAACGGCGTGCACGAGCTAAACAACCGGTTAGGCATTAGCCTAGGTTTAGCCGAGGTCTTGCGCCAATACACCCTGGGCCACACTGGCGACGGCCTTGCCTATTATCTCAAAATTAGACCGGGCCGAGAGAAAATCGTGACCGGCACACCAGACAAGGATCTTGACGACGATGATTTCTTCTGGGTGTCTGGCAATTATGAGACAGCCGAGGTACCGGGCTGGATGATTAGCAAAAACTTTGGCAGCACATGTAAGCCGCGCAAATTTCCTCGGTTAATACATTTTATTGATGTTTCTGTACCTTAATCATTCTCTTGCTTCTTTTGCAACCATCCAAGCCTTGCAAGCCAACTATAACTTTCCCAACGTAGAGGCAATCAGGACCATGCTTCGCTACCGCGACCGAGATTGCAACCAATTGCTCGGCTACAGTCCCACATACAGATACTCCGCTCCCCGCCGGAGTAAAGTAACTGACTTCCTCCTAGCTCCAACACCTCCACTGGATCCTACTCTGCCAGACGTTCCCCTCATTCGCCTGACCGAGGAACAAGAAATGGCCAAGCGCAACAGAATCAAGAACCTGCTCACCGCCACATCCGCCGAGCTGCCGAGTGTTGTAACTCACTCGCCAGCCGCCGGTCAATCCAGTGGCGCTGTGGTCGCCCTTGCCTCTCAAGCGACCGGGCAATCCAGCCGAGAACCCTCTGCACGACGTGCAAGAGCTCGGGCAGACCCATCCGCCGAGCTAGTAACCGAGCTCACTATCGAGCATCCAGCTGACGCCCTCGTCTCAGTGCCGGCCTGGCGTCCACAATATAAGCACCGGGGTCAAGACATCCCGGCAACGGCTTCGATCAAGGCTGACAAAGAGCATCTGCTCGCCTTCGATCTGTCCAAAGCTCTGCTACTACCGTGCGACGTGGTCGGCAGCGACCACGTCCCTGACACTCGGTTGGTCAAATCGTCAGTGAAGTCTATGGCCAGGGTAAGTCGATGTTTTTCTGAAAATTTCACAAGTGTTTGCCCGGTTCCGTTTCTAATCAACTTGCTTTTTGCAGGCCATTCAAAAACAACATCTCGTCTTGGAGCG